ACCGGAAGCGGAGCCGGGCGCCGGGAGCAGCGGGCGCGGCGGGGCCGGGACCGAGCGGGCCCGGACGGACCCCAGGCGGCGGTGAGCGAGCGCGGCCTCCTCCGGGTGGGGAGGGAAGGGGGCGGGGGCGGCCGGCTTCTCTGCCTCGTCCCTCGGGCGCCGCCAGCCCCGGAACGGGAAGGAAGCGGCGGTCGCTGCGGTCTCGCCGCTCTTCCGCTCGCGGTTTCGGGCGCGGGGGGAGCTCGGGCGAGGCGTCCCCGGGCCGGGCGGGCGGCTGAGGTGTGGGGTCGGGGCTGCGGAGCGGACGGGGGCCGGGCGGGTGCGACGGGGGTGGGGAGCCTCGGCGCTGTAGGGGAGGGGGGAGGGCCGGGGGGTCTGGGCGAGGTGGGGTGGGAGAGGGGCCCTGTGGGGGAGGAACGGGGTCGGGGGGGAGGGAGGGGCCCGGGACGGGCGGGGAGGGGGCCGGGGTCGGCGGGGCGGGGTCCCAGAGGCGAGAATCCGGCGGGGAGCGGCCGGGGTCGCGGGGGCAGGGGAGGGGCGGATCCGAGGGGTCGGGGTCCTCCCGCAGCCCCCACCTTCCGCGAGGTTGTGCAATCAGGTCAGTGGGAGTGCGGCGACGTGCGCCCCTGCGGCAAGTTGGGAGGCTCTAAATTTGGGGCGGCCCCTCCTCTGGGTATGTTGGAAGTCACCGGAAAGGTGCTTTGGGGCTTTCTGCGTGCTCTGTTTCCATCGCTTGCACGTTACGGGCGCGCGATCCGCCCGCTGGAGGGGCGGGGGGGGGGGGGGGGGGGGGGGGAGGGGGGCCCGGGCTTCCTCGGGCTGGAATCCGTGGCCTTGTGGGGCCTCTCGGGGAGGAATGCCATTTTCCGCTGAGCGCAGTTCTGGAGGCTTCCCCTCCCCGGCCCGCCCTGCGGGCGCCGCGCTCCTTCAGGGATTAACCCCCTGGGTTCTGGCCGCGGGGTTCCGCCCAGCAGGCCCGGCCAGCCCGGGGCTGTCGGGCAGGCCCCTCCTGTCCTGCCCCCTCTGACCGCCTGGTGAGTCACTGCCCCGGTGTCTCTCTGGCTCTCTCTCGGAAAAGCAGTCCCAGATCCCGAAGGAGCGGGAAGCGTCCTGAAGGTCACTTCCGGACCCAGGAATAAAGGGGGAAGGGGATGCCGACTCCGGTTTGACCCTAGGTCTCCCACCAGTCACTACAGCCCTTGCCTTCCAGTGGAAGCATTTGGATGGGCTCGTCTTTAGAACACTTTTAATTAAGTGCGTGTGTTTGGTGATTCAGACTTTGGTGGTTGCCGGGCAGCACAGGTAAGGTGCTCAGAAAGGGCGTGGCTGAGTGCGCGAGTCTTCCGGGCCCTGCCCTGCGTTGCCCTGTGCCAGCCACGGGTGGACTGGGTCACAGTCCCTGGCCTTCACCTTGTGGGTGTGCACGCGGGCGCTCTGAGCAGAGGAGGGCACACAGGCCCAGCCCCCCCCCCCCCCCCCGGGGCGTTCCTCTGGCCAGGCGCGGGCATCCGAGACCCCTGTGTTGGCTGCTCAGATGCCTTCTCGCTCTCTGCCTCTCTGCCCCTCTGCCCCAGCGAAGGTAGCGAGGTTGCTGCAAAGTGAATTGTGTCCCATCATCTGAAACTTTGTCCTGTAGAGTTTGCCACTCTGTGTGGCCGCGCGAGCTGAGTTCATGCTGGTGTGGTGTCGGTGGGCACGTGTGACGTTTGCAAGGAAGGTCTGTTCACGGTGAACAGCGAACAGTGTTTCTGGGTGACCGTTTCATTGAGATATAATTCACATACCGTGTGGTTCACTCATTTAAAGGGTTCGATTAAGGGGCGACCTGGTGGCCCGGTCGGTTGGGCGTCCGACTTCGGCTCGGGTCGTGATCGCCCGGTTGAGGAGTCCGAGCCCCGCGTCGGGCTCTGCGCTGACAGCCCGGAGCCCGGAGCCTGCTTTGGATTCTGTGTCTCCCTCTCTCTCTGCCCCGCCCTTGCTCGTGCTCTGTCTCTCTCTGTCTCAAACATGCGATAAGCATTAAAAAAAGGTTTTGTAAAGGTTCCATTAAATGGTCTTCTAGTGTAGTCACAGAGTTGAGCAGCCATCGGTCGCCACGATGAGTTTCAGGGCAATTCTGGCCCTGTTACCCTCCCTCCAGCGCCAGCAGCCACCCGTGTACTTTTCGTCTCCGTAGACTTGGTAGCTCTGGACATTGCACGTACGCGGGACCGTGTAATACACGGTCTTTCGCCATCTGGCTGCTTTGCTTCGTGTCTTTTCACGTCATCGCGTCGCGGGGCATCCGGCCTTCACTCCCGTTTCTTGCCAGATCCTATTCCCTCCTACTAGTGGCTCACGTGGGCCGGTTACGTGACACGGGCGTTGGCATCGTGTTTGCTCTGGGGCTGTCGTGAAGGATACCGTGCACGGTCCGTGCAGGCTGCTGTGCGGACGGAAGTTGTCGTTTCTCTCGCGTCCGTCTCTGGGGGTTGGAACCCCAGGGTCATTTGGTAACTGTGTTTAAGCTTCTGAGGACCTGCCACACGGTGCCTCGCTTTGCATTCCCACCCGTGGGGTGAGGCGGTTCCGATTTCTTCACACCCCCCTCCAAGTTGTTATTGGCTGTGTCTTTGGTTTCAGCCATCCTGGAACGAGAGGCTCGGTATCTGCCGTGGCTCGAGTTGCGCTTCCTTGACGGTTCACCATCCCGGGTGTCTTTTGTGAGCTTAGTAGCTAGTAGCTTATGCGAGTAGCTCTCATATCTCTGGGGAGACGTCTATTCAGGTCCTTCCCCGTTTGGCAGTGTGGTTAAGTGTCCTTTATATTAATGCAGTTGCAGGAATTCCTGACTTGTTTTGGACATGGGACTAGGGAACAGTTTCCCCTGTTCTGTGAATTGTCCTCACGCTCTGGATGGCGGCTTCTGAAGCACAGTTTCACATTTCGTCTTCTTCGTGCTAAGAACTGTTGCCAAATTGATGTTATGAAAATCTATTCCTGTGTTTCCTTGTAAGAGCTTAATAGCTTACGCTTAAATTTTAGATCTTTGACCGGTTTTTGTGTACGGTGTGAGGTAGGGGGCCAAAGGCATTATGTTTGGGTGCAAAAAAATATGCAGGCTTTTACATTTTTAGTTATCCTTGCGATATTTTTTAAAAAAATTGTTTTTAATTTGGAATTTGGAGGGGGTACTAGTTTGTTGTAGATGCGAGGCTATCACTAGCTGCTCTTGTGTGGATGTTTCTAGATGTTTGCTGATGACGATAACAACTTCGGTACCTGGCGTGTGCGGAGCAGCCTGCAGAAGTTAGGGTGTCCAGAGGGGACTGAGGAGAAGGCGGGCGTGAATCGTAGGGTCAGGAACTCAGTAGGAAATGGAGCATGAGGAAGGCTGGCAGAGCACCGCCGCTGTGGCTCCTGGTCTGTGACGGAGCTGCTCGCGGGTGTAAGCGGCGCCTGCTCGGGACTGGCTTGTTTCTAGGGAACGAGGGGACTTTCTTCCTCTGCTCCGTAATGTCCAACCGTGCGGTGCCTGTCGAGGCTGCCGTATCGTTTTCGGGAGTCGGTGGGGAGTCGGTGGCTTGACTAATTGGAGTCTTGATCTCTGTGCAGTAACCGTAACCGTTCATTAGAAGTGCAGCCAGCTTCTCCCTTGCTCCTGAGTCACCCCGCTTCTCATCCAGACAGCAGTCCCCGTGCCGTGTGTCTCCCGGCCGCATCACGGTCCCTTTCAGAGAGGTTTTCTTAGCTTATTTATTTGTTAATGTTTATTTATTTTTGAGAGAGGGAGACAGGGTGTGAGCAGGGGAGGGGCAGAGCGAGAGGGAGACACAGAATCCGAAGCAGGCTCCAGGCTCCGGGTTGTCAGCACACAGCCCCACGCGGGGCTCGAACCCACGAACCTTGAGATCATGACCTGAGCCAAAGTCGGATGCTTAAACGGACTGAGCCACCCAGGTGGCCCTCTGTGTGTGTGTGTGTGTGTGTGTGTGTGTGTGTGTGTGTGTGTTAACTCACGGTAATAGATTTTATTACTTTTAACAATTTTTTTTTTAAATTTTTTTTAACGTTTATTTTTGAGACAGAGACAGAGCATGAACGGGGGAGGGGCAGAGAGAGAGGGAGACACAGAATAGGAAGCAGGCTCCAGGCTCTGAGCCGTCAGCCCAGAGCCCGACGCGGGGCTCGAACTCACGGACCGTGAGATCGTGACCTGAGCTGAAGTCGGGTGCTCGACCGACTGAGCCACCCAGGCGCCCCAGCAATGTCGTTGTTTAGAAGGCCGACAGAAGATGTATGCTGGCAGTCTGCAGCAATAATTTCTGTTTGCACGAAGGGAAAACTTTAGGCAGCTATAAATCTTTGGAGACTTGTTGTTTTCTGTATTTTCTCAATGTGTCCGGAGACCGGTTGAGCTTTTTGGTTAGTAGAGTGCGCTCCCTCCCTCCCTCCTCTCAGATTTCTTCCCAAAGCCGTGTGACGTGCGGGAGGAGGTCACAGATTCCTGAGAGGCTCTGCACGCGTGACGACTTGCCCAGAGAGCCTGGCGGCAGACGCCCTCCTGAGCTTTTCTTCTTCATCGTGTTACAGACGGAATCGCTCCAGATGCCTGGGATTTCCTCATCGGATCACCGCGTTTCAGACAGGGACCTGTGAGCAGCCTTTCACCTTGGGGCGGGAAGAAAGGTCTGTGCCTTGTCGCCATTGTGTCCTCTCCCTCGGGGCCACCGGGGTGAGTCCCTGAGCCGGGAAGGGGAGGGGATTCCCTTTGGGTCTGTCGGGACAGTAATTTGCTGGGAGGATATTTTGTTGTTTACGTAAAAAGTAAAGTCAGGAGGGTGCCTGGCTGGCTCTGTTGGAACAGCACGTGACTCTTGGCCTTGGGGTCACCGCGTCCTGAGTTCGAGCCCCATGTTGGGTGTAGAGATTACTTGCGAATAAACGAGTCAATGACTTTTAAGAAGTCACGCCCAGTTTCCAGTGTGGCCTGTGGTTTCGAAAGAGAGCTTGAGCTGGGGAGCAGGAAGCGGGTGGACGGTGGGTGCGGCTCCCAGGCAGGATGTGAGGAGGCAGGCACAGGTGCTCTCTCTGCCCTCTGATGAAGCTGGCTTCCAGAAGGACCAGGGAAGGTGGGGCCCTGCTGTGTTTTCCTGATGAGTCTAGAGCAACGGGCAGAGATCTCTTTCGCCTTCACCTTCTGGGGAGAGTTGGCCTCACCGGCCCTCCCCAGAGACCCTGTCCTTTCATGTGACTGTCTCCTCTGGCCCGAACCGCAGACAGCTGAAGTCCTGCAGTTGGTGGCCTCTTTCCAGCTCGGGGCCACGGGGCACACTTGACTGGAGACGAAGAGACTGGGGGCAAATATCGCGACTTGCGGTCATCCATTCTTTCCTTTGTGAATGGGCGCCCCAGGACCATAGTCTGGTTTGCCCCTCCCGGGCTGAGAGTTGAGTCTGTTTGCTGTCTAAAATCGTGTCAACAGGGGCACCTGGGTGCCTCAGTCGGTTAAGCGTCCGACTTCGGCTCGGGTCATGATCTCATGGTTCTTGGGTTCGAGCCCCGCATCGGGCTCTGTGCTGATGGCTCAGAGCCTGGTGCCTGCTTCAGATTCTGTGTCTCCCTCTCTCTGCCCCTCCCCCACTCGCACTGTGTCTCTCTCTGTCTCACAAAAACAAATAAACGTTAAAAAAACCTTTTTTTTTCTACTTCGTGTCAACAGCAGATTACATCTGGGAAGTTGTTGCCGGGCTTTGCGACACCTAGACAGAAGGGAGCGAGGTTTGAGGTGGCCTTGAGGGGACAGTGTGGATCCTGCCTTACCTGCTAGCGAACTGTTGCCTGTTCAGGAGACAGTGACAGGAGTCGCATCTGGGGATGTGAGAGCTGTGCCCTGATTTGCCCCTCGCTGCCACCCGGATTTGGACTTGAGACCCAGTAGAGCTGGAGGGGGCGGGTCCAGACGGGCTTTCGTTGTGGCTGAATTCAAGCCACAGGAGCACCCGTGTGGCACCCCACAAAGCGCCCACTGGGTGTCCCCGGTTGAGAAACGTGGCTGGAACTCCTGGGTGATCAACTTAAAACAGTGTTTCAGTTGCTTCCTGGCCGAGGTGAAATTTTACCAGTACTTGTGTGGAAAACGAGCCCGTTCGCACACATAGGTTTCTCTTGAAATCCTTAAAAGTTCGATTTTACCTTCGCAGTCGGTAAAAGTCTTGTCTTGTTCAGGTGTGAGGCCGCTGTCCCCGGTCTCTGTGCCAGATGGCCCCTTCCGGCGCTGACGTGCTGGAGGAGGAGGGAACAGCCCATGAGAGAGAGAGAGAGAGAGAGAGAACGTGAGCGAGAACGGGGGAGGGGCAGAGAAAGAGGGAGACAGGATCCGAAGCGGGTTCTGCGCCAACAGCACAGAGCCCGACGTGGGGCTAGAACTCATGAACGGCAAGATGGTGACCTGAGCCAAAGTTGGATGCTTAACAGACTGAGCCCAACCCCCCCAGGTGCCCCTGGAGAGATGTGTTTTTTGTTTTTTTTTTTTAATTTTTTTTTTTATTTTTAACATTTATTTATTGAGAGACAGAGACAGAGTGTGAGCAGGGGAGGGGCAGAGAGAGAGGGAGACTCACAATCCGAAGCAGGCTCCAGGCTCTGAACCGTCAGCACAGAGCCCGACGCGGGGCTCGAACCGACGAACCGTGAGATCATGACCCGAGCCGAAGTCGGATGCTTGACCGACGGAGCCACCCAGGCGCCCCTGGAGGGATGTATTCTTCGTGGATGATGTCAATGCACGCGTGACTTTCTTATTTTCCAGAACACTTTCCTACTTGAGTTGAAGCTGGAGTGTCTCTGATGGGTCTTAGATGCCACTTGAGAGCGGTGTTAGAAATCTCACACGATGTTTCTTTTGCGTCTGATGTCATTCCCGCACGGGGTTGTGGGTGGGCATTTGGTGGCCCGGCCGCCCAGCCCCCCGAGCTCCGAGCTGTCATGCTGTGGCCAGAGAGCTTGTCGGCTGGCCTCTAAGAGCCGTTCTCCCAAGCCTCTCTGACCCCGGGCCCTGCTCTTTCAGATGTGGAAAGCTTCGGCGGGCCACGCCGTGACCATCCCCCAGGACGACGGGGGCGCCGATGACTGGGAGACCGACCCCGATTTTGTGGTATGAGTCAGCAGCCTACCTCTGTGTCACTTTTCCCAGAAGTGATTTTCTTCCTGTTTCCGTTCGGGTTGTCCGTGTGTCTTACAAGGCCCGCGTGGGCCTCACTCCTCACTGACTTCTCTTTCCAGAACGACGTGAGTGAGAAGGAGCAGAGATGGGGGGCCAAGACTGTGCAAGGGTCTGGGCACCAGGAGCACATCAAGTAAGAGACTCTTAATGTTGGTGTGAAATCGGCCTTTTGAAGGGCGAAGATGCAGACCGGTGGGGGGGGGGAGACCCAGCTTCTCTGTGAATGCACGCTGGCACGGCTCGGCCTGTCTCGCGAGCTGAGGTTCCCGCGAGACGCGATTCCATGCTTCTCTCCGTGTGTTTGCACGTATACGTGGTCGCTGAGAAGCTCCCGTCACAAACGGTTCTTGTATTGACGATTCTAGCATCTCTGAGGGACGCGGTCTCCCACGCGGTCTGCAGGTGGGGGGTTCCTGCCCCACATGGTGGGTTCGAATACCTTACGCCTTAAACCCCCCACCCCCACGACTCTAATTTTCCTGCTTTGTCACTGCCCGTGGGGTACCGGGGAGCTGGATTCTGAGCATCGTGTTCTCCCGAAAGGCCCCAAATAGAGCTGAGGGATTGTCCCGCGGGAGAGTGGGCCCTGCTCCTTCCGGTGGTGTTTCCTTGTCAGGAAGTGTACGTAAAAGCCTTGAAACTGTGCTCAGACTTTCATTTAGGCCGCACCGCCTTCCGCTTGAACCCTCCCGTCCCTGCCGTGAAGGGCCGTCCCTGTGATCTGTCCGGGTCACCTGCGGGGTTTGTCTTCCTTGGCCCCGTATCTTTCGGGAAAATGAAGCTGTTCTTGGCTGAGGCAGAGCCAGGAAATCATCCCCAAAAGAGGGTGAAGTCTGTAGCGTGGGTATTTTTGACCCAAGTGTTGGTTCCTCCCTGACTTGCTGAGCCCACACCTTCCACAGAAGCCACGCGAGGACGTTGAGGCCCTGGGAGCCGACTCCCGAGCTGGTGAAGTCACCGTTGCTCCCTCGTTGTTTCTGTTCCCGTGGCTTCGAAACGTGCTGGATGCCGCGTGAGCCCCTGGGACGGTCGTCGGCGCCCTGTGGCCCCTCCAGGTGTTGGAACAGTATCTCCCCCCACCCCGCCGAGGGCACTGGGCCGTGGTCTGCTTTTTCAGTGCACTCTGGGATTGTCCAGATGTGTGGACACGGTGACCCCTGGACGGCCCTGTGGGGTGGCCTTTGTGCCACTTTATGGTCCCCTGATGGTGGCAGCTCTAGAAGCTTCTTGACCTGCCACATCTTGGCCACGTCTTGTGATCCGCTTCGCTGTCCCCGGTGTTAAAAGTAGAAAGTGGCTTTAGATGATAAATTCTGAAAGTCTCTCGTGTCACCTTGGAGTAGGTAAAAGCAGTAACACCTCAAGTAGAGACGTGGTCTCCACGTTGCGTCTCACGGTCTTTGAGCAGCGTCCTCAGGGTCTCTGGGATACGGGACCGTTGGCTTGGTTTCCGCTTGTGCCGTGAGGTGATGCCGGCAGAAGGGCTTCTCCTGATCCCGCTACCTGAGGAAAGAGAACCTCTTCTCCGTAAGAAATCAGAGAAAAACTCACGTTTTAGCGCGGCCACTCTTGGATTTGGGATGACTCACTGGCCCAGCACAGATTAGTTCCTTTTTCCCTGTAAGCGTCACTCTGAGCTCTGCTGACCGGATGGGCCGGCTGGCGGAGGAAGGGAGCCCGGAGCCCGGCGAAGGCAGGGACTGGGGGCGTGGAGGAAAGGGGCCACGCGGTCCCGCCGCCCGCCCTCTCAGTTGTGTCTGTGTCTTCCCTCTCCTCCCCTCCCCTCCCCTCCCCTTCCCTCCCCTTCCCTCCCCTTCCAGCATACACAAGTTGAGAGAGAATGTTTTTCAAGAACACCAGAGCCTGAAGGAGAAGGAGCTTGAAACGGGACCAAAAGCCTCTCACGGTTACGGCGGGAAGTTCGGCGTGGAGCAGGACCGCATGGACAAGGTAGGCGATGGCATTGCGTGCCGGTCCTCGGCCGGGACGGGGCTGGCGAGGTAGGGGCCCAGACCTCTTGGCTAAAAGCCTTGCGTCAGCGCGGAGAAGGTGAGATGCCCTCTGTGGACCGACCTTCCTCACGAGGGCTCCTGTGTCTTAGAAGCTCTTTTGGGATTCGCACGGTTGCCGGGGTGTGGGTGATGTGGCGGCTGGCCTGGGTCGGGGGGGGAGGGGCTCTGGGGTGAGGACGGCAGCCCAGGGCTGCCTTGAGCGTGGGTGTCGGCGTCCCTGCTGCCCACGGCTCACCACAAGCCTCACCTGAGCCGGTCTGCGGACCAGAACCAGACCGGGGGGCTCTCGTTCACGGCGCGGGCGAGCCTTCAGCCAGCAGGAGCCTCGCTGTCCTCCAGACATCGGTGACCTTCACGGAGGAGCATGGCCCGGCCCTCTGTGTAGAGTCACTGGCCGTGAGGCCGGGAGAGAGCACTCCCTGAGGGCAGCAGGCGAGCCTTCTCTGCCACCCGGCTACACGGCATCATCGTGGTCGACTGAACGCATCAGCCTCGGCTGGCACTTTGCTTCTCTGTCCTGAGAGACCGGGAGCAGATCAGCTCTGCTCACCACCCCCCTGCGAGAGGATACGGAGTAGGGGTGGTGGGTCACGTGTTTCCCAAGTGAGGTTCCTGCGTACGGTCCGCAGACCTCCCCGTAGACGTGAATTTCCCGGGTTGACCAGCGCGACGTCCTGACCCGACAGCCGTCTGCCTCTGTTCTGCGTACAAGGGAAACTGTCAGCTGATCTGGAACTTCTGTGATCCGAGACCTGCCCGGATCGGAGTCCGTGTCTGGGCCGAGTGCGGAATGGCACCGCTGTGTCCCCGCGTGCCACGCTGCGGGTGTTAGCACAGAGCAGATGCGTGGGGGGCCCGTGGGCCCCCCACGCCAGGTCCCGGATTTGCCTAAGCTGGGGTTGGACCAAGAGTGAGCTGCAGGAAACAGATGGGGACGTCTCCTGGTGTGACTGTCCTTCCCGGAGGTGTCTAGACAGGCAGGGTGGGGAGCAGAATAATCTTCGGGTTCTAAAGAAGAAGCCTGGTGGCCTTTTGCAGTACGAACAGACAAACCCTCCCCCCCGGCCCCCGGCCCCACGTGCTTAGGACAGGAGAGAAACAGGTAGAAGCCTTCCCTACCCCAGACAAAGCCTGTGCCCGTGGTGTTGTGGGGAGTTAAAGCAGAGAGAAATTCGTGGTCTGTCTGGGTCCCCAGGTCTGGGTTGGAATAGCGGCACGTTGGGGCAAATGATGAAGCTATCGGATGGCAGTGATGACACGGCTGTCACTTCTGGCTTCTCTGCCGCTCTTGTCCTCCCAACGCCTTGGGCTCCGGCCTTTCTAGTCGCCGAAGCTTCCCCGGGGAGCCCTCCTTCCCGCCAGCCTGCCTGCAGCTGCCTTTCCCCCGTGCCTTCTCCCTGTGGGCCTCCGCTCCCTCTGGACGTCGCCGCCTTTCCGTGGACGCTCTCCGGGGCTGGGACCTGTCCTCCTCACCTCATGCCTGGCCCGGCACCGGGCAGGCTCAGCGGTGTCTCACGAGTGACAGTGACGGTGCCCAGACGGCTCAGGGAAACGCTCGGGTGTCTACAGCCGGTGTGGCGGGGGGGGGGGGGGGGGCTCCCCTTAGGAATGAATGCGGTGGGGGTGCTCCCATGGGCTCGCAGCCCCTCCCTCCGTGCCTCACTGCACCCGTAGGCAAGGTTAGCTTGCAGCTCCCGGGGGCACGATTGGACCAACCTGTTGTCAGAAATAAGCGCGACTCCGTGGACGCCTGGGTGGCTCGTCGCTTAAGTCCCGGCTCCTGGTTTCAGCTCAGGTCACGATCTCGCGGTTTGTGCGTTCGAGCCCCGCGTCGGGCTCTCTGCTGACAGCGCAGAGCCTGCTAGGGATTCTCTCTCTCCCCATCTCTCTGCCCCTCCCCCACTCGCGCTACGTCCGTCTCTCTCAAAATAAGTAAAGAAGCTTAAAAAAAAAATGAGACTCCAAAGACACATGACTCAAGTTATCCGTAACTTGTCCGCTCTGAGTTGGAAAGAGCCCAGAGATCTCTGGGTTAAGATTTGAGGAGAACGTGACGGAGACTCGGAGAACAAAACCCCGCTCCGGCAGGCACGTGTTTGCGCGAGGAGTGTGGTCTGGCAGGCGTGGCAGCCGCTGGGCCCCGGTCCCCTGGGGGGGCTTTGTCAGCACCTTTGAGTGGGAGCCTGGAGGCCCTGGGAGGTCCGTGTGCCTCCGGTCTCCAGGCAGGACGGACATCAGAGTGGAGCTGGGGAGGGGAGAGCGAGGCCCGGCTCTGAGGCCTCGAGTGAAGCTCGGCCGCTCTCTCCCCTGCGCCGTGCTGAGACGGCCCCCCGAGTTCCGCCTCCGCCCCGGCTCCTCCTGACCCAGGCGTCCTGTGCAGCCCCGGGGAGACCAGGCGGAGGGCCGTCCGCGCCGCGTCCCAGGCGGCGAGACTGTCGGCCGTAAGAAGGAAGGTTCAGATGCCGACACTCGGTCAGGCGTCCGGGCCGTCCACGCTGGGGACAGAGCCTGGTGCCGGGAGGCTGGGCGGGGTCGGGGGCCGCCCGGGAGCTTGGTCGTCAGTCTTTTCAGCTTCGCGGGCTGTGGGCATCTGGCATTTACCGAACTCGGTGGTCGGATCCCAGAGGCGGCCTCATATGTAAATGCACGGTGGGGGCTGCGTTCCAGAAGCTTTGTTCACCAACAGCTGTAGCGCCCGGTGTGGCGCCGAGGCCCCGGGTGGCTGACCCTGCGGAGGCCAGGGTGGCGGGACGCCCCGACTTTACCGTGTGGGGGACCCTGTGGGTGGACGGGGTGGGTGTCGCGATTGCGGTGGCTCTGTGGAGCGGCCGAGCTCGTGTCACCCCCGAGAGCGCGAGTCTGCGTCTCCGTCTGTCGGCGGGTATCTCGGGTCCTCTTTCCTGCGCCACGCGGCAGGCGGGTGCCTCGCTTCAGCAGAGCGAGCGACTGTATCGCCATCTGGGGGTGCCGGGTGTCAGGCTGGGCTCTGCACGGGACTGGCCTCGTGGCCCCTTGCCCGCGCCCGTCACATCAGAAGCCCCCACCCGGCAGGGTCTCGGGTGGCTTCGGGGATTCCCCCCCTCTGCCGGCTTGCGCACCGGGCGTGTTTCGGGGAGGAGCCCTGGCGTGGACCGCACGTGGGGGCCTGTTCCCCGTGGGCCGTGCCACGGGGGTGTCTGACACGGACACCTTCTCTCTGTGACCTGTTTCAGTCAGCTGTCGGCCACGAGTATCAGTCGAAGCTCTCCAAGCACTGCTCCCAGGTCGACTCCGTCCGGGGCTTTGGAGGCAAGTTTGGTGTCCAGGTGGACAGAGTTGACCAGGTGAGTGAGGCGTCGGGGGCACCAGAGCGCGGGTGATGGGGCCCCTCCCTCTAGACCGGGGCGTCCTCTGGGCCGCTCAAGATAGCGCCTTGATGCAGGACTGTGGGGTGGGCGTCCAGGCTTCTAGAAGCCCCCCGATCCCTGGCTCTGAGATGATGGGTCAGGTTACGACGTGAGAGCAGGAACGCCCTGGCTCCTGTGCGAGTCCCCCACGTTGGCACCCGCTGATCGGACGGACCAGGATAGCCTTCCGCTGCCCAAGAACGTGCCCCTGGGGACCATGTCTAGCCACCCTCCCTGCACGGATGTCCCCGACGCGGCGGTGTTCAGAGGGCCACGCGCGCGCCCAATCCAGGGCTGAGGCCCGGCGTCCGGGTGCCGCCTGGCACCTCTGGGCCTCAGCCTCTCAGTCTCTGAGCAAAGGCCGTCTGGACCCTGTTTTATATCACGGCAGCTGGATTTTGGAGTTCAACGTCTGTCTGCACTCAGGCGTTACAGCCCGTTTGCCGCGGTTCTGCGTGAACGGCCTGTGAAACGGGGCCATGGGGATTCCCGTCTCCCGGGGCCGTGTGTGCCGATGCCGCCGCCGTGCCCGTTCTCGCTACTGCTGTTAGTGTTGTTCCTGGAAGGGCCCGCGTGAAAAGCAGGCGTCCCTGTGGCGGCGGGGGGTCGCCCGGGCCGGCGTCGGGGGCTGCGGGGGCTGCGGGTCCGCCCGCACTGCCTGCTGGGCGTTGCTGAACATTTTGTGGCAGCGAATTTCCACGCCCGGAGCTTTGGGTGTTAGGCCTGCCCCTGGCTTAGGGAATCGGAGGTAAAACGCGAACATGGTTCGTGGTTCCGAACTTTTCACGTGTATTCGGGGTTCGGATGAACCGTTTTGGAGACCTCTAAAAACGTGTTTCCCTGTTTGCAGTCTGCTGTGGGCTTTGAATACCAGGGGAAAACCGAGAAACACGCCTCGCAGAAAGGTAAGGCCTGCGGCCGAGGTGGGGGGAGGGCGATGTCCCCGGGGGTGGTGCCCTGGGGAAGGCGGTGTCGCCTCCGGGGAGGACTGTGCTCTCCAGGTGTCTGGGTCCCGCGTCGCCGCCGCGGAGGCTGTCTTTCTGAGCGGTGTTCCCTGGATGGCCGGCTCTGGGGCCCGCTTCGTGAAACGCCAACGTCCCCCCAACAGTGGAAACGCGAGCCTGTAAATCAACGATGGCTCAACTTTTACTGCGCACGCGTGCTCTCTGACACGGCGTTGGCTGACCTTTACGGTGTGCCTTTTAGAACCTTTTTTACCGGCGAAAGCGTGTCACCTTCTCTGGGCACTTGATGTGTCTCGAGCAAGCTGGTGACTTCTGCCTCTTGCTTGTCATCAGATGAGCCAGGGCGCGGACATTTCCTGTCCCTTTGGAAAGGGATCGCAGCCACGTAGCTTCCAGACGGTTACTTTCCCGAGTGAGAACACGGCTCGCTTCTGCCCCGGGAAGCAGGTGCCCGTCACAGGCTTGGGGTCCTCGCTGCCCGGGACGCAAGCTTGTAGGCCGAGCCCTGCTCACTGGTGTGTGGCCGTGGGTGGCGTTTTCAAACGTGTGCCTCATCTCCCGGTGACTCCTAACTCCGGAATGTTGCTGTCGTGAGTCGTTGACAAGTGAACAGTCTGTCGTTGGGCTTTGTCCCCGACCCCTGTCTTGTCCCCTCAGATTACTCGAGTGGCTTTGGTGGCAAGTACGGTGTGCAGGCGGACCGCGTGGACAAGAGCGCCGTGGGCTTCGACTACCAGGGCAAGACGGAGAAGCACGAGTCGCAGAAAGGTCGGCCTGCGGCGGCACGCCCTCCCCGCTCGGGGCCCCCCGTGTCCCCCCGTGTCCCCGGCCTCCCGCATCCCCAGAACCAGCCCCGGGGAGACTGGCTCACATTACACGCCCGCAGCCTTTTTACCTGAATGTGTGAGGGCCCTCCTGTCTCTTCCGTGGGCCCAGGGGGTTTGTCGTCCTTCGGACGGCAACTCAGCCCCGTCCTGTGAAGGGCCTGTAGTCTGCCGAGCCAGGTCGTTCTTCTTTGGACCATGGGATTCAGGCTCTTGGTGGTTTATTTTTTTTTATTTTTATTTTTTATTTTTTTTTTAAACGTTTATTTTTGAGGCAGAGAGAGACAGAGCATGAACAGGGGAGGGTCAGAGAGAGAGGGAGACACAGAATCTGAAACAGGCTCCAGGCTCTGAGCTGTCGGCACAGAGCCCGACGCGGGGCTCGAACTCACGGACCGCGAGATCGTGACCTGAGCCGAAGTCGGACGCCCAGCCGACTGAGCCACCCAGGCTCCCCTCTTGGTGGTTTTTGGAGTTAAAAATCTTGTTCTCTTGTGTCATAGACGTATGTGATTACTCAGAAGAGTAAATTCCCAGAAAAGGAACTGCCGGGTCACAGGACCTTGACTTTAAAATTTGGTGGATGCTGGCAGAGGGTCCTTGCAGGCCAGGCTGGTCTTCCTGTCCCTGGTTAGATCCCCTGCCAGGCATCGGTGACAGACTGCTGCATCCGTGCGGGGTGCCCTACAGACGCGGTACCTTCCTGCAGAGGCCGCGGATTGTTGGCTCTTTTGCGTTTATTTCGCGTGCACGTTACATTTTTTTAAGATTTTATCTTTTTTCAGTAATTGCTACGTGCAGCGTGCTGCTTAGACTTAGAACCCTGAGGTCACAAGTCACGTGCTCCAGCAACTGAGCCAGCCAGGCACCCCTGCACGTTTGAATATTCTTGTGTATTTATTTATTTGCTTATTTAGAATAATTGGGGGAGGGGCAGAGACAGATGCCCAAGGAGGCTCCGCACTGTCAGTGCAGAGCCCGACGCGGGGCTTGAACTTGTGAGCCAGGAGATTGTGACCTGAGCTGAAACCCAGAGTCGGATGCTTCACCAAATGAGCCACCCAGGTGCCCCTGCACATTTAAGTTTTTAAAAATAATTGCCAACCGTTACAAACAGAGAGCTCGCTATATTGTTTAAAAACCCGGGTTTCTTTAAAAGACAAGGTTAAACCCCGCCACTGGGAACACCACCGGCTCGGCATTTACCCAGGGAAGCTGCCGGTGGGCCCGCGGGGTGCTTCCTGTCTCAGGCCTGCCCGTCTGCCCTGAGGCCGCAGTCTTGGCCCTGGAGTGCGCAGCCCCTGCCTGCTACCCGGGCCCCTCTGCCCACTGTGACCCTACCGATCAGGGCCTGCTCTTGGATCCCTCTCGGTGCTGTTCAGACTCTCTCCCCGATGTGGCAGTGAGGAGCAGAAACCGCCTGCGGGAAGTCGGGTGGCGGGAGCCCACGTGCCTGGGGCAGACGGGGTTCCTCGGCAGCCCCTGGGCCTCCTGAGGGTTCTGATCTTCGCATTCTGTTCCGCGCACGTGTCCCTGGGGGAGCCGTGCTTAAGTATCAGGCCGTGTATTTCCGTGACTTAGCTTTGCGGGGAAGTGAGGTTTCTGGAAGATGCCTCGTGCGTGTCCTCCTCCTTTGGAGGTGCCACCGGTGCACCTCTGCTGGCTTTAGTTCGTGAAGCAGGGTGACCTTTCGACAGCTCGCCGCGGCGCCTCCGTGGCTCGTCTCGACCTCAGAAGCTTGGTAACGCGCCTGCTTCTGATCTCCTTTGGAGCGCAGGGAAGATTCGATAGCCGTTCGTCTGCTCTGTTTGCTACTCTGGACGTTTCTGTTCCTACACGTACAAGTGACGCCTTCCAGGGTCCCCCCTGCTAGTGACCTTCCGCTGCGGCCGAGGGATCCTTGTTGGGTTTGTTTCGGTTTTGCTCGGGCGACAGAAGCGTTTTCTCAGAGGTCCCCGCACTCGACTGCGTTGCTGCTGCGAAAACGGTGCCGCCCTCGTTTGCAGATTACTCCAAGGGCTTCGGGGGCAAGTTTGGCATCGACAAGGACAAGGTGGATAGAAGCGCCGTGGGCTTCGAGTACCAAGGCAAGACGGAGAAGCACGAATCCCAGAAAGGTGACTCCCGCGGTGTCTGCTCTCGCCAGCCGCCGTTCACGGGCTGAGTGCTGTTGACCAGAACGGAGACGGGAAGCGTGGCCAGCCACCCCTAGAGTAGATGCCCCTCTGTAATTCAGCAGTGAACTTTAAGCTTTTTTTTTTAGAACATTTATTCACTTTTGAGAGACAGAGTGTGAGTGGGGGAGGGGCAGAGACGGGGGGGGGGAGGGGAGACCCAGAATCCGAAGCAGGCTCCGGGCTCCGAGCCGTCAGCCCAGGGCCCAACACGGGGCTCGAACTCATGATCTGCAAGATCGTGACCTGAGCCCAAGTCGGGCGCCCAACTGACCGAGCCTCCCCGGCACCCCTAAACATCGAGCTTTAAAACACAAGTCCCAACACAGCTGTTAAGCAAGAAACTGTATCTTCACACCTGTTTGGCCCCAGGACCCCGTGACTCGAGCAGTCACCTGTAATGGTGGCCACGTGCCACACGTCTGTGTTGCAAACGGTGCGATCGTGGTGGCCCGTGGGTGCTGGTTCAGGCTGTGCGGAGCTTCTTGTTGGGGTCCCGTGTGTGTGCGTTCGCGATACGGACACAACAGATCAGGCTGCTTTCCAGATGTGCCGCGAGGAGGTCCTCCTCGTGAACGCGTCCCAAAGTTTTGCGAAAGGTCTGGGAGGGGACGGAGGGATGTGGCGCGTGGTGGGTGTTTGGCCGCGTGGGAAGCGTGCCCTCCGCTAACACTAGCTTGTGGCCTTTTCTTGTGCACTTAGACTATGTGAAAGGGTTTGGAGGAAAGTTTGGCGTGCAGACGGACAGACAAGACAAATGTGCTCTTGGCTGGGATCACCAGGAGAAATTGCAGCTGCACGAGTCCCAAAAAGGTACGCTGACTTTGCCTGCTCCTGCTTGAGATCATTCCAGAATTTCGTTTCTTTTCATCCACAGTTCCATCCACGTCCCGTATTTCTGCCGTATTTCTGTAGCGTGTTGTTTTATCTTCACTGTTTGGGGTTGCCCTGTGCCTCCCACATTTTGGAAAAGCTCTTTAGCTAATGCAGCGATGAACCCCGCCCCCCCCCCCCCCCCCCCCCCCCCGCTGCCGCCCAGGGCCCGCCCGCGCGTGTGCGTCTGCAGGACCTGGCAGGACCCGTACCATTTTCGGGAATGCTGTTTTCTGCCCGCATATGAACTCCGTTGATAGAGTGTGCTGGGCTTCGGGAGGGGAGACGTTGCCTCTACTCGGAAGTGTGTCCCTGGGCCGTAGGGTGCGGGGTGGGGGTGGGGGACACCTTCGTGGCTGACGCAGACCTGCACCCGCCCTTGAGGCCAGCACTCCGGGAAGCGGGGCCGTGCCGTCCTTTTGTACACCGTGTCTTTCTTCACATGCACAGAGACATGCCCTCGTGTCTGCGGCACGGGTAGGGCCTGGAAGGGAATCTCAGAGCATGGAGTGCCTTTTGTGAATTACTTCAGATGCAGTTCCTAACCTGTTTTCACCTCTTGGCTGAAGCGTTAAGAGTTTCAGTTTGTCCTGTAACCTTGGAGCTGACTTTGGACTCTCTATGAGCCCGGGAGCTGCTCCCGCGCCTGAGCCCGGCAGAGCCCCTGCCTTCTTTAAATGACACGTTTGATTCGTGCACTCGCTCGTACGATTCTAACCGAATTGCGTCCTCTCTCGGTTTTCCCCACTGTTGCGGTGGATTTTCAGATTACAAGGCTGGTTTCGGAGGCACATTTGGTGTTCAGTCCGAGAGGCAGGACTCCTGTGCTGTGGGGTTTGAGTACAAGGAGAGACTGGCCAAGCACGAGTCCCAGCAAGGCATCCTCGCCCCCCCGCCCCCCCCCCCCCCCCCAGCCTTCTGGTGCAGCCGCTTCTAGCACAGACTTCAGGGGCTCAGCCTTCCGAGCTCCCCGCCATCCCTCATCAGGGGCACGGGGGTGTTTGAAACCCACTTTTATGCTGGAGGGATTCTAACTTGCACCCCTCCTTCCTCCACTCACCCATTCCCCCTCTATCCTTCAGACTTCGGGTTTGGCAAAATGAGGCGGTAGCTCGCAGGTTAATGTCACTCTGACCCCATCATGTGAGTAGTTTCTGGGACGGGCTGTCTCTGGTCTCCCAGCAGCCTTCTACAGGAGCTCATGCTGTGGACTGTGACCACTGGGAGCCATTGAACGCGCTGCCTCGCTGCCTCTGAGACGGGGGGGGGGGGGGGGGTGGGGGTTGCGGCCGGGCCCCACCCCTTGGGCCAGGGGCCGGGTGGCGGCGAGGGGCGTGGGGCAGGCGTGTTCCGTGTGGTCTCTGTGTTTCTTCTGTGGTGGTGTCTTTGGCTGGGGCCGGGATGTTTTTGTGTGTTCTCCGTTTTTGGGGGACACCACCTGTGTCACGTGTGAGTTCTTCACACAGAGCCGACAGTACGTGCCCACAGCTAAAAAGGGACAGGGACTTTCTAGGCGTCGGGAGCCTGAGTGGCAGCTGCCCCTTTTCCTTACTTGATTACAGTCAGGATCTGGACTCAGCCGTTCGGGGTGGGACCCCAGCTGGAGAGCAGTGCGGCCCTGAGTCCCGAGGCAGAGTTCAGGCCTCCGGTGCCAGCGTTAGCAACGTGTGCCGGGGGCGGGCGAGAGGGAAGGCGCACCGCGCGCTTGAGTTGGTCCGGCGCACGGCCTGGGCGTGGCCTTGGCTCCGCGTGGCGTTGATGCCGCGTGGCGGTGTGACCCTCACGGAGGTCTGCGGTGCCGCGACACGAGTGTTCGGCTGCCCGAATTTCCCCGTGGAATTGTTTTTCTTGTAAAAAGCCAGAGGAGCCCGCGTCTGAGCCTCCTTGTGGCGCTCAGAGCAGGACACCGGAAGGAAGGGGCGGGGACGGTCAGCCGTTGCTGGGCGGAAGCCTGTGCTGTTGAAGCGGTGCCCTGCCCGGGCCGCGGTCCCCTCGCTGTCCCTGCCTGCCAGCCCGCACCCCGCACCCCGCACCCTCTGTCCCTCGGGAGAGTGCGGAAAGCACGCACACACGCCTCTCTTCTGCCCGCCCCTCGCCTGCCTGCGTACTGAGTACCGTTGTAGCCACGAAACTCGCCTCGCGAGGCAAGACCCATCGTCTGGCGGTTCTCGTTTCTTTTCGCTCTGGGCGCATTTTCTTGGGTCTTTCCGGATCTGCCTGCACGCGTCTCCTGGCGCTCGACCTGAGAGTAAGTGTCGTGTTGTGCCACATTTCAGACTATTCCAAAGGATTCGGCGGAAAATACGGGGTGCAGAAGGATCGGATGGATAAGGTGAGTGGCCCCGGCCCGGGGTGCGGCGTGCTGGGCCGACGGGGGCGGGAGCTTGCGGAGCCCTTGCCGCGCGCCGCCCCGTGGACCGTCGCTGGTGGGTGCTGGGCCCTGTTCTCAGAGGCACCCACACTCGGAACGCTGCTTCCCGGGTGCTGGGCCCCGCACAGTCGTGCTGTGGGGCAGGGAGCAGCCCGGGCGGGCCCCGAGCTCAGCCGCAGCACTACAAAACGCCAAGGCGTGCGGCTGCGCTGCCCTCGGAACCAGGACCTTCAGACGCTAGGGCAGCCTGAGGACGTGTGGCCGCGTGAATTCCCATCAGTAGCAAACCTAATGGAAATGGAGTCCCTCGGTCACGTGGCTGCGGGGTAGAAGAGCTCACCGGCCACATGGGGGCGCTGGCTGCCGTGTGGGAGCACGCGCATCCAGAACGCTCGCCTCACTGCAGGGGGCCCGCGGGACAGTGTCCAGAGCCAGCACGTTGCTCTCACCGGGACTCTGTCCCCTCTGGTGGCTTCGGAGTCTCAGCCAGTCAGTCCTCACACCCGGGGTGGCTGTGGTCCTGCCACGTCAGCGTGGACTGCCCGGGCTGTGGCTCCAGTGTCCTCAAAGACCGGTCCCGTGCCCGGCCCGTGGTCACAGGTGGCACGGCCGGTCTTCTGGAGTTCCGTCGGACTCACAGCCGACCACACAGACGTCATCACCCAGGGGACTCCACGCATGACCGTGTGTGGCCCTGGGAGCGAGGGGCGGGGCACAGGCTTGGGGAGGTGTGGTGACTGCCCGGGTCCCAGTAGATGCGTACGAGGGGTTGAGAGCCGGGTGGCGATGCGAGGTGGTCCCTGAGTGAGGTGGGTCGCTGGGACTCGGGTCCACGGCGGGAGTGGTGGAGGGGTGCCCAGCAGGCGGGACCAGGAGAGGGGGGTGGATCGGGAGGGCGTCGTGGTCAGTGAGGAGGCAGGGCGCGGTGATGGGGAGGCGGCAGCCCCCGGGGTGGCGGCGGAGACGACCCTGAGCGGCGTGCCGGAGAATCGGCTGACGGGGCAGGCCGTGGTGCAGCGGGACCCACAGGGAACAGTCGGGAGGGCGCTGACGCCCTCCTCCCTCAAGGATGGGGTGGGGGTGGGGGTGGCGTGGGGTGTTCTGGAAAGCGGCATGGCCCGCACCGGCAGTTTGGGAGGGGGTGTCCGGGATGGGGCAGGTCTGGTCACACGGCCAGCAGCCGCGCCTTGCAGACGAGGCAAGGGTGGCTCGGTGACCCCTCTGTGCTGCGGGCACCGGGACCGGGGGGCCGCCGGCCGGGGAGGGGCAGAGCAGGTGGGCCAGGGGCGCGTGCCCCCCTCAGAGGTTTCCGGCGGCCAGGGGAGCTTGGGTTGCCCTGCTCCCCACCTCGGGGCCCCTTTCTCCTCGTTTGTGTGTCAGAAAACCGGCAGCATCCTGAGCCTCAGGCCTGTTTCCCTGACAGGGAAACCGAGGATGGCCCGCACGCTCCGTGAGCCCTTCTGCGCGTCTGGATCCGACAGTCACACTGTCGCTTTGCTGGGACAGAGTTTGTCCTCCAAAATGGACGAGGTGGTGGTGGGGGGGTCTTGTGCCTTGGGAAACGTGGGCGATCAGGCCCAGCGAGGCTCGAACGTGGCCCAGCAGAGACATCGGGGCTCCTGCCGGCTCTCGAGCCCGTCTCAGTGGCCGAGGAGGGGGGTGGGTGAGGGGCTTGGGAGGAGTACACGCTTGGGTTATGATGGCCCGATGCCGGCCGACGCGTAGTTTTGGGGTAGCTTTTTGGCAGGTTTTTTTAGAGCAGTTTTAGCAGACGTGAGAGGACGCTCCAGACGTCTGGCGGACACGCCTGCCCTCACTCGGGCCCACCCTCTCCCCTGACCAGTTATCCGCACCCCTGCCGGGGCGATGCGTTTGTCACAGCCCCGAACCTGTGCTGACGTGTGCCCGTCGCCCAGGCTCGTGCGGCTGAGATCGGGTGCGCTCCTGACGTTGTGCCCCGTGTGGGTCCACGTGGGTGCATGATGACGCATCTCCGCCGGTGCAGGGTCCTGCGGGGTCATCTTCCCGCCCTGACGCCGTACCCCAGCGTGATGCCGGGCGGAGAGGTGGGCGTGGGGCCGGCGGGCTCCTGTGTTGCGGTAGGAGCCCGCACGGGCCGTGGAGGGCGAGGGGGGTGCTCCCCTGAGTGTCCTGCTTCTCTCTTGCTAGAATGCTTCCACCTTCGAGGATGTCACCCAGGGGGCCCCTGCTTATCAGAAGACCATCCCCGTCGAGGCAGGTGAGTTCTGGTGGACGGACCCGGCATCGCATGGGGCTCCCGCAGGGGGCACGGTGCCGGCTGGGAGCGGCTGGGGCAGCGGAGGGCGCCCTGGTTCTGCTCCCTCCAGGGACAGCGTTTCGCCCCCCTCGGGCGGAAGGCCAGCCTGTCCCCGCGGACGCCCGCAGGCTCCCGTCAGCCGTGGTGGCAGCCGTCTGGCGATGGATGGGGTCTGTGTTGGGGGCGCCTCCCGAGGCAGGGCTGGGTTAACCGCCTGTCCGCAAGGGCCCTTCTCATTGCCGGGACTGGGTTCCGGGAGGTTCTCCGGTGCCCGCGTCAGCCGCGGCTGTGCTGTGAGGAGTGTGCCGCCTGCCTGCGCAGAGGCTGACGGAGACCTTCCCGCCTCGTCTGTCCCTTGGCCCCCGCACAGGCTGCACACGCCCCATCCCCGGAGGTGGCCGCTATGAGAAAAGGCCTCCTTAGGCCCTTCCCTCACGTGGGCCAGGCCCTAGAGAGTTTGTTGAGCTGGGGAAACCGTATGGAAAGTGGCAAGTCGAAGATAGGAAGCCGAGTGTCCCCTTTGCTCCCTGGGTCAGTGTTTCTCAGATTCGGTGGCCTCGGGACACTTGCACACTTGTGGGGATCATTGAGGGCCCCCGAGAGCTTTCGTGTGTGGGGGTTGCGTCTCCTGATCTCTACTGTAGTGAGGTTAAACCAAGAATTTAAGGGGGCGCCTGGGTGGCTCGGTGGGTTGGGCGTCCGACTTCAGCTCAGGTCATGATCTCACAGTTCATCGGTTGGAGCCCAGCGTGGGGCTCTGTGCTGACAGCTCGGAGCCCGGAGCCTGCTTCGGATTCTGCGTCTCCCTCTCTCTCGGCTCCTCCCCCGCTCATGCTCTGTCTCTCTCTCTTTCAAAAACAAACAAACGTTAAGAGAAACAAAAATCCGAGAATCTCGGATGTTACGAGTAACGATAAAATATTACGCGTTCACGTAATGATGTTCTCCCTGGAAAAAGTAACTACGTTTTCCAAACCGCGTGGAAGTGTGGCATTGGCATTGGCTTAGCGCAAGGTCTTTATTCTCACGGCTGCTTCCGCCTTCAGTGTCTTGTGGCCAATCACGTTTAGGAAGGCGATTGGACCCCCCAGATGCACAGGTGGAGGCGAGAAGGGCGTGGCGGTAGCTCCTCGGGTCCCTGGACGCCCTTTCACGATAGCGGTCTCAGACGGGCGGGGGTTCCCGCTTGTCTTGGGGGCTAGGTGCCCGCACAGAGTGGCCTGGTTCTGTAGCACGCAGTGGGCGTTTGGAAGATACTAGGCCACTGAGTTCAGCTGATCTTTGAAGTGTGGTGTTTCTTTTCATTGTACAAAACCCCAGCTTACGTTCGTTAATGGAATTCTCCATCTTGTCAGCATCTCCAGGGAAAATTGGGGAAATGTCACGCTCGCAGTAGCGGGTACGAGTTTTCCACAATCGTGACTTTTCTTGAAAGCGTGACTTCGCCGTTGCCCGATAACTGCACACGACAGACTCCGTTCCGTCACTTTAGAGAGAAGTCCGCCACAGGCCAGCCCGCGTGTGCTCAGGCCTCGTCGGTTATTTCAGGCCAGGGAACGTTCCGTGGAGAATCAGATCAGCGTGCGCCTCAGCCGCGCCAGTGGTTTTCCTCGAGACCACAGGGCTTGCGCCTGCGGCCCCTCCCGCCCGTCTCAGGAGGTGGACAGACGTGTTCTCAGGGCTCGAGATTTACAGCACATCAGTGTTTGCTGTTTTATCGAGGGCACCCTTAGGGAGGAAGTGCTGCTGTTCGGAACACGAAACGCTCCAGGCGCGAGGCCTCCGCTGTCCCGTCGTCCTGCACCGCGTGCAGCCGACAGAGTGGCCCGGAGGCGGGCCGCGGGGGGACGCCTCCACCCCCGGTTGGCTCCCGCGGTGCTCCGGTCCAGGGGAGCCGTCGCTGCTCTGACGCCGGCTGTGCCCCTCTCTCCTCCCCCCTGCAGCAAACAGCAGAACCAGCAACATTAGAGCGAACTTTGAAAACCTGGCGAAGGAGAAGGAGCAGGAGGACAGGCGGAAGGCGGAAGCGGAGAGGGCGCAGAGGATGGCCAAGGAGAGACGGGAGCAGGAAGAGGCCCGGAGGCAGCTGCACGTGAGTCCAGCAGGTCCCGGAAGGACCGGGTTTGAGCCCTGACTGCGGGCTGTGCTCTCGGGAGCCCCGGGGCTTCACCCCACACGTCAGGGAGCCCTTGGCTGCCTGGTGCCGGACGGTCCGCGTGCTGCTGACCCGCAAGCCTGCCCGCCGCTGAGCCCTGTCCCGATGTGCCCCTGGCCGTGTCTGTCCCGACCCGTCGCCTCTGGACCTCTCCCCCCGGGGAGAGGGCCGAGGGTGCGAAAGGAGCCCCCCGTGGAGCCGCCGCCCTGCTTTCTGCTTCTTGTGTGACCCTTGCGGCTTTCTGTCCCTGGTCTGTTGCTGTCGCCTGTGTTCTGTGTCCCGCGTGTCGCCAGAGAAGGTGGGGGCGGGGGGCGGACGCGAGCAGGCGGGCGTGGGCTCGTCCCGTCCTCAGCCTTCTCTGCGTTGACCGGACGTCCGTGGCACGTCACCTACTGGCCAGGCAGCCTGTGCGCCATGGCCCCACCGCCCCCCTGTGAACGGGCGCGGAGGAGCTCACCGCCGCTCTCTGGAGGGCTGCTACGCGGAGTCAGAGGGCACGGGAGCGGTGTTTAGTTCCGTGGGCCCTTCCTCCCCAGATCGGTGGTTTGGGCCCCGAGAACCCCCAGCGAGGGGAGACGGGTGGGGGAGAGCGTGAACGTGGACCGGGCACCCGAGGCATGAGCAAGCCCCGAAGGTTGTAGTGCGCGCAGGGTAACGGCGCGTTGGTGTAATTGCTGCTTTTTTTGTTTATTTTTTTACGTTTATGTCTTTACTTCGAGAGGGAGATGGAACACGGGTGGGGGAGGGGGAGAGAGCATCCCAAGCGGGTTCGGCCGGAGGGCTGCGCCCCTGACGTCCCGCCTGTGCTGTGGGCGCAGAGCCCGATGGGGGGCTTGAACTCTCGAACCGCGAGATCGTGACCTGAGCCAAAAATCAAGCATCGGACGCTTAACCGACTGAGCCACCAGGCGCCCGTGTCGCTTTTCTTTCTGCAAGTGATTAACGCCTTCCTCACGTTACGCCTCGAGGCTTTAACCGCCGAGGCCGTCAGCGCCCCTAAGGTTCAGAGGAGCGGGCGGCTGCAGAGGGGCCGCGTCCGCCGTTCTGCCGCGCTCGCGCCTTTGCTTCGAGCCCCCCACCGCCCCTTCTGCCGTGTCATCCCCGCTTCCGGCCTGTGCCCTGTCGTCTGCTCCTCCCCGTGCGCGCCTCCCAGCCCAGCGCCCCTCACCCCGGAGTCCTCGTGGCTGTGGGAGGCTCCCGTTGGCGGGCGGGCCCGTCTTCGCGAATCCACGCGTGCCGGGCCGTCGGGTCTCGGTAGCTCCCAGGAGAAGGGCGTGCGGCCAGGCGCTTTGATGGGCGGAGCCTCGTACGGTGACTCGCACTTGGGCGGCCCGGACACAAGCCCGTCCGGCCTTGGGAGCCTCACCCTTGGGTGGTTCCGAGCAGCCTGTGCGCTTGACGGTGCTGCCGCTGCCTGGCGCTGCTGCCGCTGCCTGGCGCGTGGCCCCGGGGCGCCGGCCGCCCTCTCTCGGTCTCCGTCTCAGCAGTTCGTTCACGACGGCCCCACCGCGCAGGCTGGCAGCCGGCGCTGCCGTCCTGGGGCCGCCACGCCCCACTGTCACGGCCGCGGTGGAGGCAACACGCGTTTGTCCTCTCTCGGCCGTGGAGGCTCCAGGGGGCCATCCGCCCCCTCGCCTTCGCCCGCTTCTAGAGGCGCCCGCCTTCCCTGGCTCGGGGCCCCTTCCAGCCTCCGCTTCCGGGACCGCGTGTCCTCGTCCGCCTCGCACGTGCCTGCCTCCCTCCGTGAAGGAAGGAGCCCTGTCGTTCCATCAGGCCCCGGGGAGCCCGCGGCCATCTCTCGTCTCCTGTCGAACCTCTTACACCCTCGGTCCCTCTGGCCGTGTGAGGTCGCCCCCCCCCACCCCCGCCAGGATCTGGGGGACGTGCCGTCCGCGCCTTCGAGGCGCCGCTATTCTGTTCTCCACTGTCCACCTTCTGGCCCCAGGGATTCCCGTGCGCGTCCTCCACGCAGAGCACGCTCACCCCGTTTTCAGGGCCCCAGAAGCGTCCGTCGTTCCAGCGTGAGCTCAGAGCCGCGACGTTCTTGTCGTTCACCCCTAGATCGGGTGTGTGCGGGGCACAGGGCGGCTGTGCTGCTGCCGGGCTCTCTGCACGGCTGTGCCGACCCTCCTCTGCCCGTGGTGGCGGCAGGAGGGCTGCGCCCCTGACGTCCCGTCTGTGACAATGCCTGACCTTCACGCCCCCTTGTTCTCTCCGTCCCAGGTGCTTGTCTCCGTGCTTAGTCCTCCCCGCACTTGGCTGTAGCGTGCGCTCGGCTGTGGCCTTTCCCTGGGAAGTCCTGCCGTGGAGGCGGCCTGGTGACGACCCTTCCTTGTCTCTCGATTACAGGAGCAAGCCCAAGCCCAAGCCCAGAAGCAAACCCCCCCCGCGTCTCCCACCCCTCAGCCGGCCGAGGAGAGGCCGCCCTCAAGCCCCGTCTATGAGGTTGGTGTTTTCATTCAGTTTGCGAACGAGTCTCTGACTCTCCAAAGACGCCCTTCCCCTGTCGAAGCCACCGTGCGCGGGGAGGGACCCCCACATATTCCATTTGCTGCCTGACCCGAGACGGTGGCCTGGAGAGTAGCCCTCGTGAGCGCTGGGGGGGTGGGGGGCACAGTGCTCAGCCAGTCCGTCGCCTCCCGGTAGATCCCCTGATGCCGTGGATGTGGGTTCTGGTCTTCGTGTCACTTACTCTGTGACCCGCTCTCTCTCCTGGACGCCTGTGTCCCGGCACCCACCTGCCACCCTCCCCGTGACCTGGCTTCGCCGGCCGCCCTCCCCGCTCTCCTTCCCTCAGTCCCCCTTGCACACTGTGTTCCCCAGAGACTGTCCTCGGCCCTTACTCCTCGGTCTCGTCGTTGGTGCCTCGTGACCGCCCACCTGTGCCCCAGAACCCATGTCTCTGAATTACTGGGCTCTCTGCCTCTCAGGGGCACCCCTGGCCCCGGGCCCATGACCACTCCTGGCCGAGCCCTGCATCCTGTCCCCTGCATCCCCGCGGCCACTGCCCAGCTTCCCGTGCCCGCCTTCTCACCAGGAGGTCGTCAGAGGCCACTGGGGTGTGAGGGACAGAACGCAGCTCAGCTCAGCTGCGACTCGAGGGGGTGAGCCGTCTGCGTTGCTCATGAACCCGGGAGAGCGTCAGACGGCGCGTCTGGGTCCCGGGGGTGGCCCAGGGTCACGTGGCCACCGGGGCCCTGTCCAGGCTGCCTCTCCCTCTGCACGGCGGCCGTGCCCCCTGGACTCGTAGGCCCTGCAGCCCTACTTGCGGGCGTGGGGGGCCCGTGATGGGGGGATGTCACTCGGCAGGAAATGGCACGTGGCCCCTTCACGCTGCTTCGCCGCGACTGGAGTCCGAGTGTTCTTTGAACGTCAGCGGGTGCGAGGCCTCCTCGTTCGCGCGTGCACGTGGCCAATCCCGCTAGGACTGAGACAGAGCTGCGTGTCGGGACCCGTTGCCGGCCACAGCAGATGTCTCCTTGACGCTCCCCTCCCCCAGGACGCGGTTTCGTTCAAGGCTGAGCCGCAGCCCACGTACAGCGTGGAGGCCGCCGACTACCGAGAGGCTGGTGGCCAGCAGGGCCTGGCCTACGCCCCGGACGCCGTCTACGAGGCCGCGGAGGCCCCGGGCCACTATCAAGCAGGTATGGGCGCAGGGGCGCCTGCCACGCCCCTCTCTGTCTCTGCTCCTTCGCGCGAACGTCCGTCACCCTGTTGCCTGGCCCCTTCCACCTTCCCCCTGCTTGTGGGGTGTCCACCCCCCTGCCGGGAGGGCACCCGACCTCTCGGGTGTGGTTTCTGGAAGGCCCTGCTGCTCTGGGGCGGCCCGCGGGGCCGAGTGGGAAGCAGGGGCCTCTGCTGCTCTGTCTCCAAAGTGGCAGCTGGTGACAGCCGGGCTCCGGGAGGCCGGAGTGTCTTGAGGTTTTCGGGAACAGCTTCCATACACCCCGAAGAGTTTACAGACGCTTCGGCGGGACGAACGCCGAAATCGGTCTCTTATCTTTAAAGACGAGATTTCGTTCAATACGTTTGGACAGATTTAACCTGAATCCATCATACAGCACACCTCACAATGGAGTCTTACCTTTTCCCCAAGCGTGACTGGGGGCATTTGGGCAGCGCCGTCCCCCCGCGGCTTGCCAGTCGCTTAACCACGACGTGACCTTTCCTGAAAGTACAAATCTTTAAACCTTCAAAAATCATTCTCTGAAAGCCGTCACGGTACCCGTCCGGGTCACCGTGCGCGCCTGGTGGTGTCGGCGTTGGGAAGGGGTGGGTTTGTTCCTCAGAAGCCGGAGTCCTTCCTCCTGAATCTCGCCCGGCACCCCCCACGGCCTCTCCCGCCCGGAAGGCCTCGCGGACAAGAAATTAACGGCGGACGGCTCCGTGGTGCTGCCCTTAACCCTCAGCTCTTGTCTTGGTTTATTTTTAGAGGAGAACACCTACGACGAATACGAAAACGACCTTGGGATCACGGCTGTCGCCCTCTACGACTACCAGGCTGGTGAGATGCCCACGTGCCCATTGGCACTCGTTTCCACAGCCACTCCGCTCTTGGGAGTTTGACTCCGAGAACGTTGTTAACAGCGTTTAAAAGTTTGGGATGATCTCACAGTCACAAAAATGCCCCCTTTCTCTGCATTTCCGCACCTCCCCGAACCTCCCATCACTCGTGGCCGCAGTGTTGTCCCTGCGCCTAGAGACCCCAGTGTGAATTCCCCAAAACCAAGGATGCTGCCCACACTAAAGGCACGGTCCCCCCTCCAAGTGACACAGTCGGCACTGAGATGCCAGGATGCCTGCGGACTAGCCACGTTTTCCCGGCCGTCCGGGCACCTCGTGTCCTGTCGGGGCCGCTTCCCTCCGCTCCGCGTCACCTCACCGCCTCTCCTCCCGGGCTGACCCCCGGCCGGTCTGAGGCCATGCTCCTGTGAGGGGGCGGCCACGGAGAGTTTCCTGCTCCCCTCCTGTGGTTTACGCACGTGCCCACGCGCTTGGGTGCCTGGGTGTGGGTTTTGTGAAATTGGGCGTCTGTAATTTGTACGACCTGGTGGGTTTATCCTGGTGCTGTGCCGCGCGGGCTGCCGTCTGGGCTCCCCGGTGCGCCCCGTGAAAGTCCCCTGTGCGGTGGGAGAGTGGGAGGAGCCTGGCGTCCGGAGCCTGGGCACGCGTGCTGTGCTGCCCGGCCCGGGTGCAGAGGTCCAGGTGTCTGCCCGGCGGGGCCCGTGGCGGGAGACCCTGCGGTTCACCGTCCTTTCTCTGCATCCTCCTCTTTCCTAGCGGGTGACGACGAGATCTCCTTCGACCCCGACGACATCATCACCAACATAGAGATGATCGATGACGGCTGGTGGCGGGGGCTCTGTAAGGGCAGGTACGGGCTCTTCCCGGCCAACTACGTGGAGCTGCGGCAGTAGGCCCGCCGGCCCCGCGCCACGCGTCACTCCCGCCGTCCGTGGGTTTCCGGGGCCGGGAGGGCCGTGGACGTGCCGCTTTTATATTTAATACTTCTGCTGATGCTTTTGGAAATGTTTATGCCACAGAATTTGCTAATATATTGTAATCACGTTCCTTAGGAGGACTTTGGTCATTGATTTTACGCATTCGAGGTATTTTCTTTCTGTTTCTTTTCCTTTTTTTTTTGGCCAAATCGGCACATGGAGCCATTTGGGGGACCGTTAGTTCTCCTGAGGGCGTGGTATTGTCCTCACCCCTCGGCGGCGGCGTTCGGGGCCCCTGACGGACGTGGTCGTGTGGGTGTCGGGTGGGGCTTGTCGTCCCAGGAGGAGGGAGGCCTGACGGGAGGTCAGGACCAAGGGGAGGGTAGAGGGCGGTGGCTGTGTCTCCAGATGGGAGCACCCTGTGCTGGGAGGCCCCCGGGACTTGTTCCCCAGGCCCAGTCCCCCTCCCGCCTCCCTCCCCCCCCGACTGCCGCCACCCGCCAAGCAGTGTCCCCAGTGTGTTACCGGAGGGCCTCCCCTGGCCGCACGCGGCTCTGCATCTGTTGCGTGAGAAAATGGCCACCGTTGCGGGCAGGCAGGTGCCTTCTCTGCCGGAAACCGTCAGAAACGTTCCTCCTGTCGAGGCACCCCTGCGCTTTGTGCCAAAATACCGCATCAGGACGGTAGGATGGGATTGGCGGACTCGGCTGAGAAGTGGAGTGGAGGGGGCCTTCTCCCGGCCAGGATGTCCCCCGCGGGTGCTGCACGGGGGGCCGCTGCCCTCCCGGGGGCCTGGCGGCCGGGTCAGCGCCCGCCGCGGTCACAGTGGTGTCTTCCCAGGTCCGTGGGGGGCGGTCTCCGGAGTTCCAGACGTCGGCGTCCGTTCCCCGGAGTGCATTTCTGCATAGTCCTCGCTTTACCACGGTTAGGTTGGGTTTTATATGCAATTATTGTATCTGAGTTTCTGTAGCACACGTCCTAGGTGTGGTCTTTTTTTTTTTTTAATTAAATATTCAAAATAAACTTTTTTTGATCCACTTGCTTGCTGATTTTGTTTTGGGATTTAGTCACTTAGGTGGCTGCCTGACCCCTGACCCTGTAATTTCTCAGCTCTAGACCGACTAAGGATCCCCCTTTTAAGAGGCACTTTTTATGAGGGAACTGTATTTATGCTCTGACGTTGTCAAGTTTTTGGACAAGGATTCTAAGCAAAATAGAAAACGTTCCTTTAGAAATCCATTTTTTGAACTATGCTTCCGAAGCCCCGAGATGGTTATCGTGCGGCCCAGGCTCCGTTTTCCTTTGGGGTGCAGTAAATCGAGGTCCGAGAGAGCAACACTCGTGAGCAGAGGGGCTGGTGGACGCGAGGCCTGGCTCCTGGGCCTGCCCTGGGCCGACCGCTGGACACGGTAACCTAGAAGCAGCCGGTGAACGCGGGGCGTGCGGAGGCTGGCGTGGACCTGACCGGGTGGACAGCTTCGGTGAGCAGACGTGGGCCGCCCGGCTGAGAGTAGGTCCGCTCCTGGTCATGCGGGTTTGTGCCGTGGAGCCGTCCCCCCTCGCCCTCTGGTGTGGAGGGACCGCGTGCTGTCCGCAGACCTGGCCCCCCAGAGGCCATGGCCAGAGGCAGGCCTCCCCTGGCGGGCGTCTCGTGTGGCAGGACGGGGCTTTGAGACTTCTGGAAAAGCTGCCCTCGCCGCCCCTGGAAGACCCGGGGTGGGGCGGGGGGGGGGGGGGGGCAGCACAGATCACAGACCATCCAGATTCACGCGTTTTTCCTTTTTTCAGGAGCTGGTGTCCCCCACCGCCCCGGGGTAGTGGTAGGGACCACGTGCGGGCGGGAGGGTCACAGGGGGGTCTGTTCTTCTGTGTGTGTTTCACTCTGCGTCACGTCCCCCGGGTCCACAGCCACGTTGTGGCGGGCATCAGGGTGTCCCTCCTTGTCAGGGCCGAGTGACAGTCCAGGGTGGGGCCAGACCTCGTCCATCCACTCGTCCGTTCACGGACATTGGGCTCGCCTCCGCCTATTGGCTGCTGTGTTCCTGTTTTCTGACGCACCTGCTCCGTCCGGCTGCCCGGCCCACCCCAGCCCGCCGACGCCCCCTCGGGGATCCCCGGGGGCTGGGACCGGAGCTGCGTCTCACCCGACGTGCCCCCAGGTTCTGCTGCCACATCTGTCCCGGGAATGTTCTCAGCAGCCGCTCCCGGGACCCCTGTTCTCCTGTCCCCTCTTAGTCCTGATGCGTGATGCTCTCTCCCCCGGACTTTTAAATGGCGGGGTGCCCCAGGGCTTTGTCCTCGGACACATTCCTGGCCTGCAGACACCCACACTTGGGGACGATCCTGCAGACGGGCCTCCCCGTCCAGATGCCGAACCGCCGCCTTGTCGTCCCCATGTGGCCGGACTCCAAAGCTGACCCCACGCCTGCCCCTCCTGCGGACCCTCGACTCCGCCAAGGCGGCTCCATCCTTCCCTTTCTGACGCCTGCAGCCTTGGAGTCACCCTGACTCCTTCCTTCTCCCCTCTGGCCCGTCTGCCAGCCAGCTGTCCGCCGTGACGGGGAGGCATGGTCCGCCTTCCTGCTCCCGCCCCGTCCAGGTCCCTCCCAGCCGCGGTTCCGGCCTCCCCTGTCCTCTGAAGACGTTTCCAACGTGAATTCCCATCCCTCCTGGGACTCTGAACCCCAGAGCAGCTTCCGTTTCCCTGGGAGTCAGGCTGTGGTCCTCACCAAGGGTCCCGAGGCCCACCGCCCCTCCCGCTCTCCCTCCTGATGAGCCAGCACGTCGCTGCCTCAGGGCCTTTGCACTTTGGAGTGTTCCTTCTGCCAGTGCCCCCAGGCTCACTCCCTCCCCGGCCAGCCGGTGTTCCCTCAAAGTCTACTTAAATCTGTGGGTCTGCCCAAACCTAGCCCCCACCCCTTTCCCTTCTCTTTATCACAGCGGACAGTACTTACATCACATTGTGTGGTTTGTTTTTGTTTTTTCTTGAGATTATATATATATTTTTTTTTAATTTTTTTTTTCAACGTTTATTTATTTTTTGGGACAGAGAGAGACAGAGCATGAACGGGGGAGGGGCAGAGAGAGAGGGAGACACAGAATCGGAAACAGGCTCCAGGCTCCGAGCCGTCAGCCCAGAGCCTGACGCGGGGCTCGAACTCACGGACCGCGAGATCGTGACCTGGCTGAAGTCGGATGCTCAACCGACTGCGCCACCCAGGCGCCCCTCTTGAGATTATATTTTTAAGTAATCTCTACATCCAGTAGCAGGACTCAAACTCACGACTTCGAGATCAAGAGCCACATGTTCTACCGACGGAACCAGCCAGGTGCCCCTGCATGATTTTTAAAACCAGTTTGTTGAGATACAGTTCACAAATCTCACGAGTCCCCCATCTCAGGCACGTAGGTGGGTGGTTTTCAGTGCGTTCAGGTTTGTGAGCCGCATGTCAGAACCCCCCCCCCCATCTCCCAGAGAGAACCCCTCCTTTCTGGGTTTGCCCTTCCTGGGACATTCCGTGTCCGTGGAATCCGCACCGTCTTTTCTGAACGGGAGCTGTGCCCTGTCTCCCGCCTGGGCCGTGGGCTCCGTGTTACCGACTCACGGGACCTGTTCCGTTCACCGTGGCAGAGAAACGCCATACGTTGTTAATCCGAAGTGTTTTTTAAGTAGATCTTTCTAGCCCCCAAGAAGTCGATTCAGAAGTTGCCTCTGAGTATCGTTGCCAGGGGAGAGGCCAGGTTCCTATAGGCGGGGGTGGAAGGAAGGCGAGGTAGAGGGTCCTGGGAGGCCTGGCAGAGCCCGATGCGAGGCTCGAACCCTAGAACCGGAGATCGCGACCTGGGCCGAAGCCGAGAGTCGGAGCGAGCCTCCCAGGCGCCCCTGCAACTTGCTTCTTAAACAATACGTTTTGTCGGGCTTTATTACATCTTTTTGTGTCCCCTGTGCAGAATCTCACTTGGCAACGTGGCGATTAGGCGAGCCCCACAGATGGATGTTTATTTTGCTGTCACGGACGGTGCCTCTCGGTGTCCCGGCATTCCTGGGCGCAGGCGTCCGGAGGGTGAGCGATCGGAGGGGGTGGCTGAGTGCCGGAGAGACCACTGCTTGCCTTTCCCCCACTTCCTAGTCACCCATCTCCGTTGTCTTCAGAAGTGCAGCCCGGTTAAAAGGCCGTATTTCCCATCACTTACGCGACGAGGCTACGTGAGTGGTTTGGAAGTGAAACCTGGTTGTGGAGGATTTCTGGGGACGGTCCTTGCAGAGGGGACTGACGGTGGGAGTGTCTTTTGACCTCTCCCCTCTCTCTGTTTCTCCTTTCTGTTGTCTGGAATGTGGGTGTGATGGCTGGAGCTCTGCCAGCTCTCGCGGACTACGAGGCACCTCAACGGTACTTTCTGAGGATAGTGGAACAGAAAGATAGAAAGAGCCTGGGTTCATGACGACACCAAGGAGCTGCCCCGTTGGTTTTGCACGTTTCGGAACCTTTTTTTGTTGGCTTGTGTGTTCTGATGAGGCAGAGAGAGAAACGTTTATTCTGTCTAAACCATTGTCATTTCTGCTGTAAGCGCGAACAGCTTCCCAGCTGATTCGCTGGGTCCGTGAATATGAAATTTCCCTCTGAAAAGGTTTGCATTAGCCTCCACGTGAGAGCACGTCTCTCTTCTTTGGCCGAACTCAAGTGTTGTAACAACGTGAGATCTCTGACAATCTAGTAAGTGAAGATGCATATTCTTGTTACTTGGACTTCATTTTACCCTCAGTGGTCAGTCCCCTTCTTTCCTTCCTTCTCTGTCCTTTTCATTGTCTGTTTGCTCCGTACTCACGAGTGACTCACGACGGGCTCATGGTACAAATTCAAAACAAGGACTTCCGGTCCTGGAAATACTGGGGACTAGACGTCGTGACACCCGTCTTGCCACAAAATACCTAAAGTGTGAGATGAGTTGCAACAAACCTCTTTTACACGTAGAGCTGAGCCTGTAGGAAGGTCGAGGACATCTTCAGGGGCCAAAGCAGAAGAAGCAGCAGGAGCAGAACAGAAGGCTCGCCCTCGAGGTCTGAGTAGCGTGAGGTCATCGGTTACAGCCGAGGGGTTTGCGCACACACGGGGGCGGGAGGTAAGGCTCCCAGCCG